GACCGGATGCCCTTCCTGTTGCCAATGCGGAGGTTTTTTTTTCCGGCAGATCTATTCTCGTTGTGCCCAGAAAGAGAAATATCTGCCTCTGCCCAGGATCGAACTTACACAACCCTCCCGATCGTGAAGCCAAGAGCGCTACCTCTAGTCCACCACACACCACCCATTCTTTGACAGAGCGGCTGCATGAAATCGTTCGGCTATTTCAACGGCCAGAGATAATGCGGCCATCTCTGTTTTTCTAAGTCTGATCCTGCCGCTCTTCAAATATTCCATTAAGTTCAAGATGATGCGCATTCTTGGGGAACCGGAGAGACAAGAGAAAGGCAAAAACAGCTCCTGGTGTTGGTTTTAAGACATCTTCGGTTTCATGCGTGCGTTTTATCGGAGGAATTTAATCGTACAATAGGACAGCTGTCCATCCTTCCTTCGCTGTTTTTGCAGCCTCGAGCCGGTGGCGAAGCTTGCAAAGGAACGTCTCTTTGGCACCAGCTGTTTTTTTCATGCCTCATTTTTTAACGTTTAGTGTGTTCCGAAGTGAAAAAAAGGCGAATGTGGGATTTTTTTTTTTTTCTCCCTTCGCCTCGATTCTTCCTTCACCACTTTTTCTTTTTCCTGAGTATGTTTTTCACAGCCTTCGAATGTATTTTCTTATCCCTGGGCTGGGGGAGGTTCACGCAGCTGAAAACTAAAGGCAACTGTGCCTGATGGCTGGAAGAAGGGGGGCTCCCCCTCCGAAAAAAACCTCTTATTTTTGACACCTTGAGAATATTAGAATGATGAATGTTTATGTTACTCCATGGGTTGTTTGTATTGATTAATAGCTTCTTCTTCTTCTTCTTTTTTTTCCCAGTGACTCGACTATATAAATGGGCAATGAGATCCATATGCTTTCGCTCGGTGTCCTAAAAATAATTACCATCACTCTTAGTTTTGCCCGCTTTTTTTTTTTTTTTTTGCTGAATACGAGTTTTCGGGTGGAAAATAGTTATAGCCTATGACGGCCAGATGGAAGCGTTTGGAAATGAGCCCTCGAGTCGCTGGCTCGGATTCCAGGTTTCTCTGTGGAAGTTAACATTCGACACAGCAGAATTTTACTTATAGAGGGCATTGTGATCTCCAATGAAAATACTCTTGACTTTGGGGTTGTGCCAGCGATGGGGCAGGGGGGGGTTAGCGAGGAAGAAGCGGTTAATAAAAGTCACTTAAAAGTGTCGCTAAAGTTTGGGCGTCTTTCCGTTTAAAGAATGGGTGAGGAACATGGTTATGGTTCCAGAGCTTTCTCAGGTAGAGGCGTAGTTTGGATTCACCTCTCTATCCCAGGCTATGTGGTGTGGGGGTTTGTGTGTCTGTGCTGTGTGTGTCTGTGTGGGGGTCCTTGGTGCTCTTTGAGCTTCATTGGGTGGGTGGGTGGGTGGGTGGGTTGGTAATGCACTGATATTGTTACCTAGCTGGGTCGTGAAATGTCTGCAAGGAAACAAGCTCAGAGAGACCAAGGATTCCAGTCCTCCTCCTCCTCCTCCTCCTCCTCCTCCTCTCTGCAAACCCCATTCCCTTCTATCACTGATCTTGTTACCTAGTTGGGTCATGAAACATCTGCAGGGAAACAACCAAGCTCAGAGAGCAGCAAAGACTCACAATCTACTTCCTCCTCCTCCTCTTCCTCCTCTCTACAACCCCCACTCCTAGCACTGATGACGTTACCTAGTTGGGTCCTGAATTGTCTGCAGGAAAACCACCAAGTTCAGACAGCCCTAAAGAGCTCACAGTTCAATCCTTTAAAAAAAGCGACTTAGGACCGTTTTTCACACCATCATTGCAGCATCCCGTGGTCGTGTGATCAAAATTCGGCCTCTTGGCTACTGACTCATATTTACAATGGTTCCAATGTCCCAGGGGTCATGTGATTTCCCTCCTGCGACCATCTGGCCAACAAAGTCAATGCAGAAGCCAGATTCGCTTTACAAACCCGGGTTACTAACTTAAGAACTGCAGTGATTCACTTAATAACGGCGGCAAGAAAAGTCGTAACATGGGGCAAAACTCACACGCTACTCTTTGTTTCGCTGAACAACGGTCATTTCAGGCTCAGTTGTGGTCATAAACCAAGGACTTGCCTGTATTTGAGCAGTAGCACATCTGAGCGGATTGAATTAATTTTTTAGATCCGTAATGACAGAAACGCACCTGCTTGGGTTTTGTGGGTTGGCTAGGAAAGGTTTATTCCTGCTCCCTCTGCCTTTTGATGGGGTTTAAAGTGGATAGGGAAAAAAATTAATGTATTTTTAGTCTGAGCTTCGGCCGCTGAGCTTATCAAGGGAAGCGGGGCGGGGGAGAGAAATTGCACGCTACTTTAACCAGCAATTTTGTTTTTCTTTCAAACGGTGAGATTGAAACGCAAGTGACAGGAGTGGGAACAGGAATTCAACAGGCTGTTGAATTCTACCGGAATTTTTTTCCTGTGGGAATCGGGGGAATGTTTTGTAAAAACTCCGGGTGGTAGGGTTATTGTTGTTGCTTTGTTGTTGTGATTTCGCAAGGTGACCTATCCGACGTCTGCATTTTTGGAAAGGATAGGATGAATTAGAAAACAAAAGTTTTGGGGACCGCGTGTTGCTAAAAAAATGAGCGTTGGAATTCAGAACATGTCAGGAGAAGAAGAATTTTAAAAAGCTGCCCTTACTTGGAGACATCCAGCATCCTTCTATTTTCCCTGGGATCGACTAACTTGCCAGAAGAAAAACTGCTGGTGACCTTCTACCGCTGCACCATAGAGAGTTTCTTAACTTATTGCACCTCTGTATGGTTTGCCAATTGCACGGGGGCAGATAGGACAGCGCTCCAGAGGGTTAAGGTCATTGCCCAGAGGATCACAGGTTGCCCTCTGGTACACCACAGGGTTGCGTGTTGAGTCTCTTACTCTATACTCTTTATATGTGCATGACTGCATTCCCACTCACGCTAGTAATACTATTGCTAAATTTGCAGATGATACATCAGTGGTGGGACTCATCTCTCGGGGCGGGGAATGAGTCTGCCCATCGAGATGAGGTGGACCGGTTGCTTTCGTAGTGTGGAGACAATAACTTGGTCCTCAACACTAATAAGACCAAGAAGCTGATAGTGGACTATAGAAGGAACAGATCAGACATCCAGCCCTTGGTTATCAATGGAGACTGAGTGGAGCAAGTGGCCAGTTTTAAGTTTCTGGGTGTTACCCTAAAAGAGGACCTGACTTGGGGTGCTCACATTGCAGCCCTGGTCAAAAGGACCCAGCAGAGATTATTCTACCTCATATATTCTCAGAAAACAACAACTGAATGAAAAACTGCTGGGGACCTTCTACCGCTGCACCATAAGAGAGCATTTTAACATACTGCACCTCTGTAGGGTTTGCCAATTGCACAGGGGCAGATAGGAAAGCACTCCAGAGCAGGGGTCCTCAGGGACCACCAAACTCATAATTTTAAATCCCAGGGACCACTAACTGGTTCTGTGGGCGTGGCCTAGTTTGTAGGTGTGGCTTTGTGGTCATGTGACTGGCTGGGCATGACTTGTATATAAAAATTATAAATATTTATATAAATATTGAATTTTTTATTTAAAAAGAGCAACTTTTACCCCAAATCAGGCAAAGCAGGCAGGCAGATTGAGTTGCTCACAGAATCATTCAGTGATCTATCTATCTGCCATCGGCTAGCTCAGTCTCTCAAATTTGCTTGCCGTGAGTCTGCACTGAATAATAGAACCTTCAGTCCTAAGGGAAGCAGAGCCGAAGATCTAAAGACTAGCTAGAAAGCAAGAAATCCAACCATTTCCTGCTTGCTAGCTAATCTAAATCTCCTGGCACAGCAGAACAGCTGATAGTCGGAAAAAGGACAAATAGCAATTTAGCAGGCAAGTTTGCCAGGTAAGGAGTGAGGGGCTAGTTTGCTGTATTTTTTTTTCCACAAAGGCAATAAAAGGAAGGATCATTAATTGTAGATCTCGCTAACTTATTTTGTGATGGAAGCTCCTACTTCTCTCTAACTCTCCAAGTGTCTTTAAACAATGTAGATCTAATGCATTCTGGTGGCCAACCAGGACTAAAATTGACCTCTGGAATCTGGCAAGTTTGTCGATACCAAAATCCAGCCCTCAGTTACTCTGTTATCATTATCATAACTATCTTAATTGCACTTCTCTATTGCACTATTTCCAAAGTCTCAGCCTCTTTGGAAACAGGGCAGAGAAGAGCAAGTAAGATGATTTAACCAGACAAGATTTGATAGACGGTGGTAACTCCCTCTTTTCCTGCGCCAAGTTTGCACCTTAGATAAGACCTTTGTAAAAACACGCACTTGGCACATCTTGTTCCGTGCCAGCTAAAGATTCCTCCCCAAATTCACACACCGCAAGTCTTATCCTTCCATCAGCAAAACTTCAGTCAATCACTTGGGGAAGGAAGAACAAGAGTGATTAAAATTTTCCTGATCCTTCCAGATTGCCTTTAGGGTGACTCTGGTGTGTGTTTATTCTGCTTAGCCGGGAAAATATATACATTTTCCAGAATTGCTCATCGGCTTCCAGGATAATTTCCTGTGGCATGTTTCTGAATTAAGACAGGGCACCCTAGGAAGAGATGCATGCCAGCACTTGGAAGGTCTTGAGAAGTTTGGCCATTGTCTTGGTGGAGCTTCTTGTGAATTTTGTGACGCCTGGTGAATTTTGTACCCAAGAACCAGCCGTGCTGAAGATCCCGAGGAATTGAAAGTCACCCAAAACAAATCAATCTTGAAGATTATTCATCAGCATTGACAGCTGACATTCGGAAAGTTAACAACCCCAAGGGTGACATCAAAGAACGTTGGAGGAAGAGTTGCGTTCACGCCTTGCATGCAAACAATAAACCAGCATGTAAAATTTGTTTCTTAATGAAGATCTGGATGAAGTCGAGAGATGCAATCTGTTAAAATTAAAACAGCTTGTGTTTCCATCTTTCCTTTCTTTTTTTTTTTCAGGAACTTCTAATTGGCTGTGTCATGATGGCTGCATCTATGCCAGATCCTGTCTATGTTTTACGAGGAGCAAACAGTGGCATTAATACACTGTGTTTTCAGTGTTCGAACCCAGATCCAGATTTTCCCATCCTTTACTCAGGGTGAGTAAAGAAAGAGCATGCAATTGACTAGCACTGATGACATTGCCTAGTTAGGGTAATGAAATGCCTGTGAGCACCAAGGACCCCTCATACAACTGGCTGCAAATACAAATACAAAAGAAGGGGGCGCTATGGCTCAGTGGTTAAAGACCACTGGGCTTGTCGGCTGGAGAGCCGGCAGGGTTCGAGACCCAAGCTCTATGCAACGGAGTGAGTTCCCTTTCCCTGCTCCAGCTCCTGTTCACCTAGCAGTTCGAAAGCATGCCGATTGCAACTAGATAAATAGGTACCACTGTGATGGGAAGATTACAGCCCTTTGCGTGCCTTTGGCCAATAGCTGTGATGACTCAAAGGGGCGTGGCAAAAAGGCAACACAGTCAAATAAGCAAGAAGAGTCCCTTTAATTATCTCCAACTTTGCCCTCAATGTCCAGGTTACCTTCCGCTGGAGAAAAAACTCCCAAGAACAGTCTTTAAGTGGAGAAAATTCAGTCCGAAAAGTACAAATAAACTAGCTAAAAATCCACACAAACCAAGCTGAAGTAATTAACTTGACAGGGCAGGAGAAGGAATTGCAGATTTGAAAGCACAGCCAAACACACACGGTTGGGAAGATGCCAGGAACCCAGATGAGCCTCGATGATATCAGATAATTCACGATTTGCTCCCAACAACTTGCTTTGTGTAGTTTCCCTTTTTAAACACTGTGTTCCAAGCTGAAGCTAATGAAGGGGATCAGGGCCCTTTCCTCCTCCGTAAGCCACGCAACTCATGTTGCTCCCTTCTCCATTCCTCCCCGCGTGTCCTAGAGTGAAGAGAGGGTAGGTCTGGGTCTTCCTCTGAATTCCCTCTCCCTTGTTCTACCTCTCCCCTGCTCTGCCCAGCCAGACTTTGCCCTTTCCCAGTTTCTTCCACAGCCAACGGAGCCACACTCCCACTCCCTGTCAGCTACCCGGCCTCCCCCTCCAAGTCAGATTCCAACAGGGGCATGACAATAGCCATTTGGCCACATGACCACGAAAATTGTCTTCGGACAATGCTGACTCCCTCTGCCAAGAAACGGAGCTGAGCACTGTGCCATGGAGTCAGACATGACTGGAAGCGGGAAAAGTTCTACTTTTACAAATACAACGGTGTGATATTTATTCTTCCGTGTTATTTATAAGTTATCCCATCTAAGTGATTTAAAATCTAAAACACACACACACAAGGAAACGGCAAAGGAACTAGAGGGGATGTTTCATTTAAATAAGAGATGTAATTATCTCCTCTTTTTAGCTTCTCTTTTCTTTACAATTGGGTGCAAGATCTAACAATTATTAAGGCAAAATTTCCTGACAGTGGGAACAATCCACCCATGGAACAGAAGTTGCTTTTGGAAGTGGTGGACGCTTCATCCCTGGAGGCTTTCAAGAAGAGACTGGACTGCCATCTGTCAGAAATGGCGTAGGGTCCCCTGCTTGGGTGGGGGGGTTGGACTAGATGACCTACAAGGTCCCTTCCAACTCTGTTCATCGGAATCTTTTGCATTAAAAGCCGAGTCCGAATGTCAAAAATCGTGGTTTATTCTTTTTCTCTTATTTTTTTTTTTTTTGGTTTTATTTTAAAACAGATCTTCTAACGGGCTGATCCATATCTGGAATCTGAAGACGCGGCGAGTCTGTGGTAGCCTGAATGGCCATGGTGGAAATTCAGTGTACTGTGTGAAAACAATATCCAATAGAAAAAATGGACTCCTTAGGTGAGCCTCCATTTTAGCAAGGCGTAACTCAAGTTTTGGTAACCTAGATGTCAAGTAATCCTCAACTTATGAACCCCCAAATTTCTGTGGCTAAGTGAGACAGTTGTTGAGTTGAGTTTTGCCCCATTTTATGACCGTTCTGGCGGCGGTCTTTTAGTGAATCTCTGCAGTTGTTAGGGCGGAAACACATTGGGCTGCCCCATTGACTTCCTTTATTAGAAGATTGCAACAGGGATCACATGACCCCAAGACACTGCGACCGTCGTAAATATGAAACAGTTGTCAAGCATCTGAATATAAACCACTTGACCACGGAAAGGCTGCAACAGTTATAAGTGTGAAAAATGGTCATAAGTCACTTTTTTCCAGTGCCGTTGTGAACAGTCACTTAATGAACTGTTGTACCTGTAGTCTGGGGTCACCTGTTGAGTTGGACATTTAAGGCAGAGTTGTGTTCAAGGAAGGGTTGACTAGGAACATGGAGTTTCATTAAGGAAACTGCCACGAACCTGAATGTTGTAGCCCACCAGCAGAGCTGGCAGCAGACTCGGACAGTGAGGAGGTTGGGGAGGGACATGGGCCAGTCCTGGAGTCTGGGGAAGACTCGGACGAGGGCTCTGTGTCGGAGGCAGAGATGGGGCCAAGGCTGCCTGACAGTTATCAGCTGCTTTCGGAGTCAGACATCAAGTGAGGCAGAAGAACAGCTGGAGCCTGCTCCTGATGTGCGCATGCATAGAACTGCCAGAAGAAGGGAACAGTTAAGGAACAAGGGTCGACTCGGGAGTAAAGGGACAGGTGGATGGTGAATGGCCCCTCCCATAGGGAATAAATAGTAGTGAAAGGGGATGGTGTGTGCAGGAGACAAGTAGTTCGTTTAATTAGTGTGAAGATTTGTTCGTGACTCTCAGAGACTCCTTGCCAAGTATTTCCTGTACAGCGCCGCGCTTGGAAGCTATCGGCCTGGCAACTCTCCAAGCCTGATAAGTTCCTGTGCTTGTAATGCACCCTTGAAAGACTGTTTGCCCGGACTTTGCTAGATGTAAATCACAGGAATTCACATTATAGCCTAATAAAAAGGGGTTTTGTGGGAAGTCTTGTGAAGCCTAGATCAGAACACCGAATGACCCCGGAGACATAAGCTAAATAACTACAGTAAATAAACTCATGGAGAAGGGAGTGAACATTCTCCCCCAGTGGATTCTCCACGTGACCAGTAACCATTTTGATTGTCAAAAGTCAGGGCCGTGACCAGAACATCCACCTGTGGGACTTATCCGAAGGAAGGAACGTCATCACAGAAAGCCTTTCCACGGAGAACGTCGGGTTCTGCAAATGTTCCCTCTCTGAGGTGACGGAGAAACGGTCCCTCCTAGCCACCCCGTGGAAAGGGTTGGAAGAGGTAAGTCATTCCTCTAAGGCGTATCTTCTCTGCCTTGCCTGGTGGCGGCCAAGGACTCTCCCAGATGTTCCTCTGAGCTCGGCCTATGGCACGGAGTCATGGGACTGGTGTGGAAGGAATCTGGGAAGGTGACTCTGGTGTCATAAATGGGACAGGGAGAAATATTGCTGGATCGATGAACTTAACGGAAGAGGGGACGTCAGAAGAATTAAGGATAAATTTTCAGGCAGCAACATGGAACAGAAGCTTGGTTGTTTATTTACTTACTTATTTAGTCAAAAGCATGCATACAATAGAAATAAGGATTGTATTCGCTTTTTTGGCTGCCGCCGTACAATGGCTGGCTTATGACTCAGTGATAAACTAATAAAAAATTTGGAACGCAGAGAAACTCCATAAAACTGGGAAACCTCCTTAAACCCCAAGCCAAAGCACTTTGAGGCTTATGATTAACACGAAGACTTAATATGTATTTACACTTGGCCATTCTCCAAAATAGATTTTTTTTTTCTCCTCTTGGAGCAGGTTCTGTCTATGAATAATAAGATCTAAACAGGCATTTATTTGTTCCTGATTGCCCTAAAACAGTCAGAAACACGCATTTCTCTTGCCAATTTGCCAGAAACCTGTTTAAAACGCCTTAGAAATTTGCAAAAAAAAGAACACATTTTCTTGGGGTGACCTGTAGCCACAGAAGAACCTTATTAACCCCAGGCAAAAGTTTAAAAAAAAAAAACTTATTTTTCCCTGGGGAAACCTTCTTCTTCTGGTTTTAAATTACATGCTAAGTAGGATATTATTTTTCCAACGCCCGACAGCAACATGGGTGAAAGTTCTGTCAATCTAGTCAAAGTTGCTCATGCCACAACTTGTCCAATCTTGGAACAAGCAATCCCGTTGTGTCAGACTGGGACTGGGACCATGTTTGAATCCAATCCCAGTGAAGACTTTAGACCTTAGACTGTCTCCTACTGACCTCAGCCCTTTCCTAAGAGGTCTGCAGGGGTGTGTGTATAAGTGGACCAATCGTGCCTACCGTCCCTGTCCTATTGTTTCTTTTTTTATTCGTATCCGTCTCGTGTATTCATAACCATGCTTATGAACCATTCAGGGTTGAGAATTACCGCTCTTGAAAGGAAAGGAAAGAAGGAAAGGAGAGGAGAGGAGATGGGAGGGGA